CCAGGCTAAAATAGTCAAAAAGTCAAAAGCCAAAAATCAGACCACTTCCCAACACGGATTAGTGAATTCAATGTTGCTTGGGATATATGGAAAAGGATAAATGCTCAAATGATTATTTTATCATTTTTAACTTATTGTACTACAGTAATAGCCCAATATAAACTGTTTAATATTTTAAATTATTTTAGCTAAATTAAATAATTTTATTTGTAATTTTTTTTTTGCACAATTAAATAAATTATTTTTAAAAATTAAATAATTATCAATATCAATAAAAATATATTTTATTTTTTTATTAAAATTTTAAATAAATTTATTTTAAAATAATAATTAATTAAATAAATGAAATAAAATAAAGCATCTTATATAATTTAAAATAATAAAATTAAATAAAATAGATAAACGAAATTTTAAAAAAAACATCATAAAATATCTTATATAAAAATTATTTTAAAAGAAATATAATTAAATAAAAAAATAAATTAATAGAAATAAAATAGAAAATTAATAAAATTAGTTTTGATGAATTTGATTTAAGTTTTGTCTTTTGAGCTATGGCCTCTGCCTGCAATGACATTATTACCAGGTTTTTGCACTCAAAAGGAATCATTTACTGCGATCTGAAACCATCAAACATCTTACTGGATGAAAATGGTCGTACAAAGGTATTTATGTTCCACATTTTCTAGATGTGCTAGTAACTCTGCCAGATGTGCTAATAATCTCTCCCGTATCTTGTGAATTGCAGCTTTGTGATTTTGGATTGGCAAGAAAATTGAATGATATATCTAAAACTCCTTCATCCTCGGTAGGTTTTTCTAACAATTGCAACTTTTCATGCATGCTACTGATTTTGTTAGTGTGACTCATTAGGATTTCAACTATGCAATATTCTTTCCTTTCTTTAAATTTTTCTGGAAATTTATCTACTTTTTCATTTTTACTCTTTGTGCACTTCTTCAGTTGCCACAAGCAAAACGTGGAACTCCCTTTTACATGGCTCCTGAGTTGTTTCAGGATGAAGGGGTCCATTCTTATGCTTCTGATTTGTGGGCTCTTGGTTGTGTGCTATATGAGTGCTACGTTGGGAATCCACCCTTCATGGGAAAAGAATTTACTCAGTTAGTAAAATCAATCCTTTCAGACCCAACTCCATCTCTTCCAGGTACTCCCAGCCGTCCCTTTGTCAATCTAATCAATTCCCTCCTGGTGAAAGATCCGTCTGAAAGAATACAGTGGGTTGAGCTCTGTGGACATGCTTTTTGGAGAACAAAATTTACTCCACTGCCTTTACCTCCTCAGCCTGCTTTCACTAATATGATAGAGCTTTTATCTAAACCATATCTCTCAGAACGCAATAGCGACAATCCTCCCCAAAACAAAACCCCACCAAAATCTCGTGGAAAAGATTCCAAAGGGGGTCCCAAACAGGATGAGAATTCTATTTTGGGATTTAAATTGTAGTTTTCAATCTTTTTTATTTTTTTAATTTTTTAATTTTTTTTTTCATAATTTGTATATAAAAATCTAACTATTTATATTATTTTATATAAAAATATGTTATTAATTTTTTCACATTCCATGCATAGTACAGGTTTACCACTAGTTATAAAAAACCCAACAATGATATATATGCTCACTAGCTAAACTCATTTTCTAGACCTAATAATGTGTATAACTGATATGATTGATTGATGATTAAAAAAAAATATAAGAGAAAGTATTGTCTTAGATATCCTAATTGAGGAAAAGACTATGGTACACACCCTTTTATCTATCAATTTTTAATTTGTCACAACTTCAACATGTAACTTTCAACCTGTAACGGCTCGGACCGAGATTCGACCCTTGTAATTATTTGTATAAAGATGGTTGTATTATAAAAGTTTTTTGTCAATGATTGGACTTAGCTTGAAAATTTTTTAAGTGTAAGAATTGGATTTTTCAAAATTTACGATTTAGAAAATAATTTTTGGCTGTAATTGTTCTTTATATATATATTAAATATTCTAATTTGATTTTACGAGATTTTTCTACGAGGTATTAACCACTTTACTTCAACGCTAAACTTAGAAATTTCAGTTGAAAAATTATTTTTGTACTAAAATTGGGAGAACCACTTTTTGATTTAATTGCATTTTGATTTTTTTGTATTTTTCTTTGAATCCAAATGGGATGTATTTCCTTATTTACATTGTAAACTTAAATAAATTAAATATAAATGTAAGAGACTAAGCATTTACTTAAATGGCTACAAATGAAAATAAGGTTAATATGCTCAGAGTGCCTTAGGAGCTGAGCTGTATGACTTGCTGTGCCTTGGGTGACCGCTCGAGCGGTGAAGAAGGTGCATCTAGTATTATGCTCTGCATATTGAAATGGTGAGAGCTTGAGTTCAATGCTCGAGCTGTCTGGACGATATCAACAACTTAAAAGTTGCATTTTAGATCATTTCTTTCATTTTTTCTTTTCCTCTTCCTCTCCTCTCTCCTCAACTTCGAAAATCCTAATTTTCTCTCTCTAAATATCTCACTTTTCGCCAAGATCCAAGCCTAAACTTCTTGCAAAAAATGAAGACTATGTAAAGATCTTGATTTTTACCTATTAGATTGCGATTTCGTCAAAGTTCTTGTTTGGGTCTTCATTGTTCACTCTCATTCTTAAGGTAGGAGACTCTCTTAACTCCATATATTTATGATTTGGTGTGATTTCTTAACATTTTGGGGTTATGGGTTGTAATGAGTTAGAAAACTTTGATGGAAAGTTGCTAATGGACAAAAATGGGGTTTTCACACAAATTTTTAAAGTGTCTTGAATGATTTAACATATTGATGAATAATATTTGATGATTTTTGGATTTGACAAAGAAATGAGGAAAAATCTCAATTTTCTTGAAACCCTAGATTTGGGATTTTTAATTTAAAAGAGGGTCTGAACTAATTGGTACTTTATGTTGAAATTTCAATTGATTTTCCTTGAATATATGTGAGTGGGATGAATTTTTGATTTATGATGATATTATTGACGATTCATGGAAGTTGAATCGTGTGGAAACTTGGGAATGTTGGAAGGATATAAAGTTAATAGTTTGCATGGAATTATTGTTAGTAATGAGAAAGACTTGGAGTCGTAGAAAAGAGAATATTTTATTAGTTTTTACTTGTTGGATTCTTGTGCAATTAAATTGAATTTTAGATAAATTAGAATATTTTTAAATTCATGCATCACATTGTATTCTCAAAGTTTTGGACTAAGTGTCTGGTGATTTAAAAGTGGGTGTGTGTTTTAGGTATACATCGTGTGTGTTGAGGTGCCCAATTTTCCTTTCATGTTTGTAGGTTGAAAAATGTGAGAATATTATTAGTATATTGTTAAGGTGCCTAATTGTCTTTCCATGCTAAACGCCGGTAAATTTAGGGGATATGACTGAATAGATTGTTGGGTGTCCAATTGCCCCTCTGTGCTCGGTGGTAAATGTTGGATATTTTCAAAATGAAATAGGTGTCCAATTGCTTCTCCGTGCTCGGTGGCCTGTAAATGTGATGATTTTTTCAAAAGTAAGAGGTGCCCACTTGCCCTATTGTGCTTGGTGGCCGGTAAATGTAGAGAGTAATTGAGATATGTAACGTGAATTTTATTACAAAATGAAAGGTCCTTGGTTATGTTAAAGGTTAAAGAGTTGAGTCAATCATGAATTTTAAATTATACATTAAGCATTCGAGTTTCAAAACAAAGTCAATGTCTTAAGCGTGGCATAGCATTGCATGAACATAATCATATCGTACATTTATATATTGGGTTAAGTTTATTTCCTACTGAGCATAAAAGCTCACTCCTTTTTTTGGGCTAGATATCCAACATTCCAAGTGATAAAGACGTGCCTCCAATTCGTTGAGAAGCAAATGGATTATACATAGAGCACTGAAGCTCGTTTTGATGTTGTTTGTTTACAGCTATTGAGCTTACTTGCCAAGATAGAATTTTATTTTGTTGTGATCAAGGCCTTTAGTGTTGAAAGATGTGAGCCCTTATGGAAATTTGATATATAGTTTATAATTCCACGTATCGTAATTCAATGTAATGAACTTGATGTAGAATCTATGAAAAACTGGTGAGTTTTGGCTTATAAATTTGTTGTTTTTTGTTCCTTGTTCACATTAATGTTCTGGAATTTGGTAACAGTAATGGATTGGTAATCTATAAAATGGTATAGAAATATCAGGGTGTTACAAGAGGTGCGTGGTGTTATGGGTTTGTTGGCTCAGGAATTGGCGGGTACACTTTGAGAATCTATGAATATTTTGAGGGCTAAGAAAGCAATACGGGCCACCATAGGAGAGACTAGATCCTCTTCTTTAGCAAAGGAGTTCTTTAATTCAAAACCTATGGAGTTTTATGGTTGGTCTAACCCTCTTCAAGTGGATAAATGGCTAGAACAGACGGTGAAGACGTTTGAGGTGTTTCACATTGTTGATGATGAGCTTCGGGTTCCCTTGGAGGCCTTCCAATTGAAAGGGGACTCAGGTCAATGGTGAAAATATGCCAAAGTCCGTATAGTGCACACATGAAAAACATTTACTCGCGCCTTCCAAGAGAAGTATCTTCCACCCATGGCCAGGGAGCATTTGAGGAAACAGTTTGAAGAGTTAGAATAGCTCAACACACCCTTAGCAGAGTTTGAAGCAGCCTTTATTAGCTTGTTGAGGTATGCACAAGAGTTAGTGACGACTGATGAGCGTTGTTGTTCGGAATTTGAGAAGAGACTTAGGTGGGACATCAAGATGAAGGTGGTTGGCAGTATGATTGGGAGTTATGATAGACTTGTGGAAGCAGCCGCACATGTGGAAATCACCTTGGAAAAGAGGAAGAAATAGAGGGGTAAAAGACAAGGAGGACATGAGTCACAGAGTGACTCGGGGACATCCAAGAAGTCGAAGGGTATCACTAGCACTCAATCGCAGTTGCAGCGGACCATGCCTTGGGCTATGGTAATGGAGATGAGTTCAAGGAGTACTAGTCAAAATAAAATGACTTGTTTTTGATGTAGGCAGCAAGGTCACAAGGCTTCAATTTTCCCTCAAAATGAGGGAAAACAACTGTAGTAATGGCCGGCTCATTCTCATAGCTAGTTTCGGAGTAGTGGTTGGATGTCCACCTGCTACCAGTGTGGAGAACCAAGGCACATGAAGAGACTTTGCCTGCAGTTGGTAGGGGTTCCTAGTGCTTCAAGATCCTAATAATCATATAACCTTCAATAGGCTTTGGGTCAGAAACAACTTCATTTGTTAGTCCAATTACAAGATAAGAGATCACCCACTTGTTTTAAGTGTAATTAGCCGGGCCATGTTAAGCATAATTGCCCTCAAAGTGGACAGAACCAAATTAGTAGTTCAAGCAAGGACAGTGATGTTATGAGGAAGCAGCGTGATGTTTTGTTGTTTTGGTATTGTAATGCTATGGTGTTATAGGTAGGACAGTGTATTTACAGATGTTGCATATGTATATATATGTGTGTGTGTGCTTTTCCAGGGGAATTAGATTGTAATTGTAACAACCCCGACCCATGATTAACGTTAATCCATGCTTAAGTATGCCTAATAAGTAATTAAGAAGAAATCATGAGTTAATTACGTGTGCATTGCATTATTTGTGTTTATATTTGTTTAACGTAGGAAGATCTATTCATGTTTTTGTTTCAATTTGCGAATTAAAGGCCTTATCAGCATTCGATTCAGAATTGACTTGATTTATGTGTTATTTGGAATTTTTAGAATTTTATGGTAGATTTAATAAAAATTCGATTTGGAACGATTAAATTAGATTAATTTAATGCCTATTTGATTAGCTTTAATGAACCACCACTAGGTAAGCCTATATAAGGCCACCCTCATCGCCCAAACAGAGGAGAGAGAGAGAGAAAGATGGAGAGAATTGAGATCAAGAGCTTGAAAAAAGAGATTTGCTAGGAATTGTTGAAGAATATGAGTAAATTTGGAGATTGAAGCTTTTACACTTATGAATCTAACACTCTAGGTAAGAATTCTAGTCTTTGGCCTTGTAAAGTAGTTGATTAATGCATGGAAACAAGTGAATTAGGTGAATTCATATGGGAATTGAGCTAGAATTGAAGAAAGTTAAGTCATTCCATACATGCATGCATATATCATAACATCTTGAGTTTGAAATCAAAGAATTACCACATGCATGTGTCTATCTTGACTTGGTATTGAGAAATCATCACATTTCTTACCATTTGACTTTAATTAATCATATTTTAAAAAGCCATAGTTCAAGAAATTTACATGCATGTTATATCTATATTATGTTTTCATAATTCAAGTTTGAGTTTGCTCAATTGTCAAGTTTAGGGGCCTTGATTTCATGAAAATGATCCTTAATTCTTAATATTTTACAAGTTTAGACATGTTTCCTTGAGTTTTGGCCCAAAATAATAAGGCTTGTGG